GGCAAGAAGCAGTGGTATGAAATTAATTTATAATCACATGATATAGAAAATGAGTGATCTTAAAAATTTGAAGTAAAGCAAACTCCATATAATAACATAAAGTATAAAAATATTAAATACATGATATAAAAAGCTAAGGAATGGTTGATACACAGAATCATTATTGGCACACAGAATTAATACTGGAGGATTACTAGGAATGAGAAGAAAAAAATATTGAGGGTGAACACACACACCCCCCATAACAAAATACAAGCATTAAACCATTGTAATATATTTTCAAAGTCAAAGTCATTGCCATCACAGAATCAATGTGGGAACTAGCTTGTAACTACATTCCATAGAGTTTTCAGAGGCTGTACATCCCACAGCAGGTCCATGTTTCTCCCTCAGAGACGTTGGTAGATTCTAACTGTCAGAAAAACTGGCCTGTGGGTTAGCAGCACAACTCCCAACAGGCTACCCTACTTGGTGGTTCAAATCCACCACTGGCTCCTCAGGAGAAAGATGGGCCATCTCCTCTTGTGTGATTTATAGCCTCCGAAAATCCCCCGAGGCAAAGGTGGGAGGGTCAGTATGTGTCAGTTCCGCCTCAATGGCAATGAGTTTGCTTTTCTTTTTGGGTAAGACTGTCAGGTTGTTCAGAAAAAAACTGGAGCTGTAAGAATTAATTTGGGTTTTTTTAAAGTATATAAGTCTAAATTTAAGAGTCTAAATTTAATTTCTAAAGAAAATAACTTTCAAATTACTATGGGGTTGGAGGAAGAAAGCAAATTTAATAAATCTAAGAAACAGTCAAGAAGAACAAAATTTTAAATCAAGCAATAGAAACTTTAAGTATGACAGAAAGAAATTAAACGTATCAGTGATCTCAGGAAATATAATTGGAATAAATATATTCATGAAACTATTTAGTGGCAGAGTACATAAAGCAGCAGGCAACTAACTGAAACAAGGAACTCTGGTGGCTTGTGGTAAGGAGTGGTACTGTAAACCCAATGATAGGCAGTTCAAATCTACCAGACGCTCCACAGGCATTCTACTCTCACATGATTAACTGTGTCTGAAAATCTGAGAACACCATCTATGAGTCAGTTCTGACTTCACAATACACAACTAACTGAATGACAGCTGGCACCTTTCTATGAAGGACTTACAGCCCTGGAAGCCTGCTGGAGGGTGGGTAGGAGTTAGAATGACTCCATGACAGTGTGTGTGGAGTTAGTATGCCCTATGGACTGCCCAAAGAACAAGCGGTATTCCGTTGTGTGAATGTACCACAAGTTCTCCAGCCATTTGTTTGCTGATGGGCATTTAGGCTATTTCCATTTTCTTGCTAAAGTGAATAATGCTGCTATTAATTAAGTGTATTATCTCCCTTTGTGTCTTTGTTCTCATTTCCTTGGGGTATATTTCCTGCAGTGGAACAGCTGTGTCACACAGTATATGTTCAGCTTTGTGAGAAAATGCTAAACAGTCTTCCAGAGCGCTTGTACTGTTCTACAATCCCTCCAGCTAGGGCATCAAGCATTCCAACCTCTCCGTATCTCTCCATTATTTATTGCTTGCTGTCCTGTTCAACTTTGCTTCGCTATCAGGGTGAGATGGTATCTTACTGTGGTTTTGATTTGCATGTCTCTGATTGCCAGTGATTTGGAGCTTGTCTTCATGTGTCTGGTGGCCATTCAAATGTCTTCTTTTAGGAAGGGTTTTTTTCATGTCTTTTGCCCATTTTGAGGTTGTTATCAGTCTTTGTCTTGTGGAGGCCCTCTAGTATTCTGTGAACTTTTGTTTATACTATATACCACTAAGGTACAACAATTTCATAAAAGACCATATAACATGAGAGAGTCTAGGGAGCATTACATTGAGTGAAATAACTCAGTCTCATAAGGATAAATACTTGACAGGACCACTATTGTAAAAACAGAAGGAAGATGAGCAAGATGTATATAAACTTTCAACAGAGGAAGCAGAAAGGAGGAAGGGTGTGAAAAAAGGGGAAGGAGAGAAATCTCTAAGACAGGAGAGGTTAGTGGATGGATGGGAAGGTGAAGGAATAGGAATGATTCAATAGAACCTGAAATAATGGAGTGATAATAAACATAGATCAGTAGTAACAGATAAAACATAATGTCTATGAATGATTGCACAAAATACACTGGACATGCATGAAACACAATGCAAATGAAAGGTAATTTAAAACATAATATAACATGCATGAAGCATAATGTATACAAAGATTGTATGCAAACCTAGAAACATATGGGAGAGAAAGAAGAACTAGATAGGCCTTGGGAAAAGCGCAGCCAGAGTGATCCTTGGAGTTTGTCTCATATACTTTGGGCATGTTTCTAGGAGAGCCTATTCCTTAGAAGGGACATCATGCTTGGAAAGGTGAAGGGTCAGCAGAAGAGAAGACTACTCCCAATGATACAGATTGACACACAGATTAATAGGCTCAAGCGTGTCAGAGAAGATGAGGATGGCTCCGGATAGGACAGGTCTGTTGCTTATAGAGTCACTATGAGTTGTACTTGACTCAATGGCACCTAACAACAAAATATAGCAGTAATGTATATATGTATTTATATAAAAGAAGACATTTCATATAAACACTAAATGGAAAAAATATGGTATTAATATTTGTATGACATGTGATAGGTTATTAATTCAAATCCACATATGGGTCTGCTACAGAAAGACAATGTCCTTCTATAAAATTAACAGCCTTGGAAATCTGATGGTGGCTTGCAATGAGTAATCAGGTTGGATTTTCAGTAAAAGTTGTTGTTATGTGTCAAGTCGCTTGTGACTCATAGTGACCCTATGTACAATAGAACCCTGCCCTATCTTGAGCCAATCTCATTGTCTCAAACACACTTACCCCATTACCCTAGTTACTGAGTCAATCTAGGGTCTTTCCTGTGTTGCCTCTCCATCCTTTCAAGCATGATGTCCTTCTCCAAGGAATGGTCCCTCCTGGAAACATGTCCAAAATATGTGAGATGGAGCTTTAAAATCCTTGCTTCCAATGAATAGCTTGGTTCCCCCCCTCTCCAGGGCTGACCTGTCTATTTTCCTGATAATCCGTGGTATGTGCAATACTCTTTTCCAGCACCACAACTCAAAGGCATCAATTCTTCTATCACTCTTGGTCATTGTCCAGCTCTTTGATGCATAGCTAACAATTGCAAAGATCATCGTTGTTCTTCAGAGAGGTCCCTGACAGGAGATTTACTCAATGCAACTTGTCTTTTGATTTCCTGACTGCTGGGGTCAAGAGTGTTCACTGTGGAATCAAGCAAGCTGAAATTGCTAACCATCTCAATCTCTTTTCCATCTCTCATGAGGCTGTCATGGATACTGAGTGATGGGTTATATTCTGTTCTCCAAATGGTTCTTTGTACTATAAGCTAACTCAGACAGAACTGTCTGTGTTGCCCCTAACTGGGTGCTGTGTGTACAAAGATAAAAGACCACACTCTAGCCTTGATTCACTCCAAATGCCATACAGTGTAATCACTTTCAGATATAACAGACAATTGTACCTTCACATCTAAATTCTTGCTCATCTAAGCACTGAATGCCAAGCACTGAATGACCAATGTAAGGTCAGAGTAACTCTTTATCGTCCCTCATACTCTGTCTCTGAAAGTAAAACTTTTATCAACCTGTGAAGGCCATGATAAGCTTCCATCTTAACTCTTTTTAAATCACAAAACAAATTAATCTTGACCTACTTATCTTAGGTTCTGTTTCAGATCCTGCTTCCAGAAGTCACGCATTATGATTATCCTGCTGAATCAAAGAATTTAAGGTTACAGGCTCTTAACTGGCTCTTAGCAATATAGTGGATAATACACTGCAAAAGGCATAATCTTTCACTCTCAATTTCTAGTTTATAACTTATAACTGTTAGCCCTTGAATAAATACCAATGTTAAGAAAGTAGAAAAAGGAAAATACATAAGTTCCAAACAATGTGGAAGGACGGAAAAATATGTTATTGTTTAATAGGATAAATGACAACAACAAGTTGAAAAAGACTAAATTCTACTCTCTAATTAACCTCTGTTGTTAAAAATAAAAACAAATGGAAGAACTTTTAAAACAACCCACTTCTATCTCACAGGCAGAGAATGTGATACAACTGGGCACAAAAGAGTCTTCTTCAGTTTCCCTCAACACAATTCAGAGGCTTGCAAAAGACAGAAAAGAGTACTCACCAGTTCCTGGACACTAAATTCCAAATATAACAGTATGACCTCAAAACCGTATCTTAGAGAAGATACCTGGAAGCACTCACATTGAAAGATTTAGGAAATATTTTAAGTAGATAATATTTAATTCCAATATAACCATGTTGAATCTGGTTGGATTTAGTTCATTCCCGCAGGAGTATGCAACACAGTCAAGATTACACGGATCAACATTTTAAACAGCTCTTATCCTCAAAGTATTCAGTGCAATAATTCAATCCCATACAGCAGAAATGCACAGCTTTTGTGTTATTAAAGGGACAGCTGTAAATATTTTAGGTGTCTCTTGTCTCTTTCTCGCTGACTCAGTTCTGTCATTGCACAATAAATGAAAAGAGCTATGTCTCAACAGGACTTTATTTACAGGCAGCCAATCCTCAGGGGTCACTGTTCCGACCTCTGACTACAGAACCAGTTTCAGGCTTAAGCATTCTTTGATCTGAAGAGATTCAAAGAACAAGAAAACATGACAGAAGTAAGACCACGTAAGACACACAGTTTTGAGAAAAGGTTTTCTCACAGACCTAGGAAAATGTGATTTTCACAAAGTACATGAGTCCCTGCTCAGCTTCTATTGTCCTGCACAAAGATAATAGAGGAGAAGAGCTGTATGACAAGAACCAAAGGGAAAGTACCGAAGGATTGCTCAAATGTTTCTTCCCTATGGTTTAGGAGTCACACTATCAGTCTTAAATTTTCTGGGACTAGAGTTTCAAAGGGCATATGTAAGATCACTTACCCATATCTTGCCAGAGATGCTAAAAAGACCAGCCATTCCAGACATTCTAGAAAGAAATAAACTAGTTAATAAGGAGTAAGAGAACCACTCTTTACATATATTAGGGGGAAAAAAACTAAATTCAGGTCACAGGGATGCCCCTCATTGACCTTTCTACTTGCTATATATCTATCTCTCTTGGTCTCATGTGTGTTCTTACAGAAGCTACTCATCATTTGAATCACTCCACTGTAAATAAATATTTCTGGGTTCCTTTCCTCTTCCATTGGGCTTACACAGCCAAACCTATGATCCTGAACAGCTGAATGTCACTGGTGAGGTACGCTGGAAACACATGACAAGACAACTGGTTTCTTTCCACAAAGCTCAACACTCAACATTGCTCAGTCCCTGTACCTGCTTAGGATCCAAGATAAGAGCACATTCCTTCCCGATCTCTTCAAATTTCACCCATCCTCCCCTCCTGGTGCCTTCCCAGCTAACCAACCCTTTTTTGTCTATCACTGAGAAATCGGAGACCATTACGGACTCCTTTTAGCTCTTCACCACTAAATCTGAGCCTGGCATCAGCTTACATCTATCTTCTCATTACAGCACAGAAAGTCTATCGGTCCTAAAATCTAAACCCTGTCCCTGCTGAGTCAATTGTGACTCAGAGCAGCCCAGTCAGAGGACAACTGCCCCAAATGGTCTCCAAAGGAGGAATGTTTCAAGAAGCAAATCATCAAGCTGTTTCTCCTTTAAAAAAAAATCACCTGAGGGGTGTTTGAACCTCCAACTTTTCAGTCAGCAGCTGAGTGTTTAATCCTTGTGCCACCAAGTTATATGCCCCACTAAAGTCCTACTCCTCCAATGGGTTGAGACATGATACCCCAGCATCGCTCTCTCCTTCTTTCCAGGTGAGTCAGTCCCTTCTAAGGTTTGAAAATGATCTTGACCTTCACCCTGAAACCTACAGCATCCCTTTTCAGCAGGAAGTAGCTAAGAGAATACGCCATCCCCTTTTCCTTATGAATCAGGGTGAAGTCTTTCTCAGGGAGGAGTGATAGGGAAT